CTCCAAAAGCAATCAAACATGCATTAAGTTGTATCACGACAGTGTATTTATTAAACAAATGAAAGTAATAAAACAGCATTACAATGTTAGATTATTCATTCATTTCTTTAAAAAACAACACTATTCAACATACAACAAAAAAATACAAATCATAAATTAAATGAAAGGTAGCAGAAGAAGATAAAATCTTATTATATCTGCCCCTTTTTCTCAAATAAATAACTTCAATCAAAAATAATCTTTAGTTTAAAAAAAAAGAAAAATACAAAGGTTTTACTCCTTGAACAACAATTCATACATTCACATATTTCTCCAGGAAATTATTCTTTATCATTCTCTTAAATATACATATTGATCTGGCATTTTTAATATCTTCCAGATTATTCCATAGTCTTATACCCTGGACTGAAGTACTCTGTTCCTTTTTAAACTGGTTCTAAATTTGGGTTTAACAAACAGATTTTACAACAACTCTCTCCTTTTAACAAAGTGTAATTGAATTTTTGAAGGTAATGTACAGTATTTTTATGAGCCCTATACATAACTGATAAAATACCATAATCAATAAATCATTGAATTTCAATAACTTCAACTGATGGAACAATGAATTTGATGGGTGATAGTAATGCTTTCTGGTAATTTTTACAGCTCTTCTCTACAATGTCATGTAGTTTTTATTTTTTGTACATAAATTTTGCCCTTCTGTTACTGAGAAGCAAATTTCTTCATGACTCTGGTTAAATTCAGGGATGTTTTAACCAGATTCTTCTCTATAGAGAGCATGGTCAGTGCAGTGAGATGTGATGTTGTACCTGAGGAAAGTCTGGATTCTCTTCAGTGTTGAAGCTCCTCTCAGATTCAGCTGTGGTCAGAGGAGATGTGATGAGAACCTTCAGTCTCTGAAGGTGCTCTGAAGGTGTCCTGCAGATTGTTCTCCATGAAGAGTTGGTACAGAGACACATCACCATTGCAGCTCCTGAACTAGATCAGACTTCTTGGTCCTGTTCAGCACTGGGTGAGCCTCCATGGTCTTCAGTGCTGCTTCAGAGAACTGTCCTGCAGGAACCTGTCTGCCTGTAGCAGTGTAGTACTGATCAGATGTTTTGTGAATGGCTCAAGATGATTTCACAAACCTAAAGAAAATGCACAAATTTAATTCAGTATGAAGATGGCTACAAGTGAGCTTTCTAATATAAATTTAATACATAGAGAACAATTAATGTTATTTTAATAGCAACAAATTGTTGCATCTCTAAGGTAAACTATTATATTTTTGTTATAAAATGTATTTATTTAATTAAAAACAAAATAAACTCTATGCACAACAGAAGAAAAAAGATATAATAAAATGAAAGGCAGCAGAAAGAAGCACCCGTCTTCAAGAATAAATTCAAACAATAGTAATTTACAAAAAAACAAAACTAAACAAAAACAATATAAAAATATCTTTATTATATTGTGTTCACCATGTATATTATATGCTGCTCAAAAATAAAGGGAACACCAACACAATCTAACTACACCATGTTCTTGCTCATTTTTTATTATTCCCGGCTCATCCAGTCCAAGCTACTTCATTTTAAGTTTCTCCTCATATATTCTGCTTTGAAAAGGTTTAGATATAAGGGACTTACGGTGTTGTCTTCTCCTTCATTTCTCGTTTGTCGTTCTCCAAAATCCGCCTCGTATTGCCCTGCCGCCTTAAGACGACAAGTCGTCGACACAGGTGGATCCACCCACTACCGGTGTGTGTTCGCAGGTCAGCTGCAAACACAGGCCACCCTATACTTTTGCATTGAGGACTTACTGCGCATGACCAAAATCTTCACTTGCGTTGTGTATGGGAGTCTGGGGTGGGGAACACAGCGTGACCCGGAAGTGACTCACACGAAAACGCTAGAGTAAAATGGAAGTTTACACATCAATAACTATAAATTATTTATTTTATTATTAGAAAACATATATACAATATTTTTTCGGACCATTTATAACATTTTSTTTTGTTATTTTATTTTATTTTTGTGTACCAAAAATAGAGGGGTGGCGGTGAACGTGCGCCCCCTATTGACCAGCCGCCACTGGACAAGGGTCTGGTTTTTACCAGGCTTCCTAAAAATAGGATTTAGACAGATTTTCCGGGGGTCTTCCTGATTAGCAAGACAACTCAATTCCTGTCTTGAATTAAGTCGTCTCCAAAAGTTGTAGATATCTTCCAATGATTAACTTACTGAATTTAGTTGAAATTTGCCTTGTGGCTCAAACTGGTTTATTAAATATCCTTAATAGAAATGTTCAAACTTACTCTACTACCTTTGGCTTTTAATTTGTAATCACCACAGATTACCTGTTTACAGTTATTCTTGCTACTTCTGTATTAGAGTTGGGCGATATTGACAAAAAAAAAAGACTCAGGATTACTTGTGATTTTTAGCTGATAACGGTTAAAATGACGATTAATCCCCTGGAGTCCCTGGAAGCCTGCATGTCCTAGTCACATGACTGACTTTGGACACCACTGCTTTATACAATTGTGATTCAATGATAAAAGTCCATCTGTTCACACAAAAATCATTAAAATATTATCATAAATTCAGTATTTAGAAAAATGTTTGATTGTAGTTTTTAGAATTAAACTGGAATCATCAGGACAGAGTTTTACATACACTGGGTTTCAGAAACTGCCCGGACATTTGGGATCAGCTCTACAGCTGGTGATCGTTTTCTGTTTTTGCTCCTCTTCAGCCACTCTCCTGATTTACTCGACGGCAGTCTCAGCAGCATCGGCTCCTCCACCGGCTCCCCCGGCAAAATGGAAGGCGTGTCACCTTCGTCGTCAAGCAACTCGCCCTTCGCCTCCCTCCAGGATCTGTCTCCAAAGTGAAAGGCGTGTTTCTAGAGACTTAAACCCGCAGGGGGAAAAAAAGAAAACAAAAAACAGTTTCTTCTACGTTTAGTTTACATGGATTTTCTGATGCTGGCCTCTGAACCACTGCTTCACGGAGGGGCCTAGAGATGTTTGAACCGAATCCTCGGCTGATTGTGTCAGAGTGAAGCTGACTGAAGACACTGTGAGCACCGGCTGCTAGTTGATCTTGGATGGTGCTTGTCTGTAGTGATGTTTGTGTGACCGTTCCCCCTCAGAGCGACACTGAGCACTGGACAAACAGACTGTTGGATGTGGACACGGTCCTGTTTTTGAGCTGGAAAGCTTCTTTGTATGTTTGCAGATTTTTGTAAGAAAAGGTTTAACTTATTTCCCTCCCCTGCTTGCTTTGTAAGTATGTATATAAAGTGACGTCGTACTGACTGTGGGGTGAATGTAAACACACAGGTCTTCTTTAGTAATCCTTCCGGGGTGCAACTTCCTGTTCTACTGAAAAGTTCTCGAGGTTTTTACGACTATAGGCTGCAAACTGTGGGTTATTTTTCTCCGGATTTTAGGATTTGCTGCCACTATAACAGCCCCTTTAATGCCCCGAGCAATCATGAGTGGAATAAGAACATCGTTTCTGCTTCAACACTAAAGTATCCTGTGGCTCTGTCAGGAGACCTGTAGATATGAAAAGTAAAGAAACGGTTACCTTCTTCTAGCAAAGTGTTATTTATAAAATGTATGGAAAAATGTATATATAAATATATATAAATATATATATATAATTTGATGGTAATAGGTATCTATTTCCAGTGAAGCTAATAGTTTTTGTTCAATCCAAAGCGACTGACTGCTGGAGCATTCACCTGAGAGGAGTTAAACTGCTTGCACAGGATGGTGCTCAGTTTAGTCGTGTTCTGCTCTGCTTTTCAGTCTGAAGCAGGAAACAAACGTCTCTTAAGGAAAAGCAAAGTAAAAATCCAGCCTGCACTGTGACATTATCCCCTCTGTGTCCGAGCTCTCCTGTGTTTCATTCTTGTGAACCTTCATGGCTCTGTAGCCTTAAATGTTTCTGTACAAAAAGAAAAAAAAAGTGATTGTAAATCATTTTATGGAAGCGTTCCTTTTAATTTAAAAGAAGAGATTGCCGTTGCTTTATTGAGCGTGTTTATTTTTATTGAAATCCGTATGTGGCTGAAGCGGAAGCAGTCGACTTGCCCTGCTTGTCGGTTCAGTTTTATTTTTTCTGCTCCAGTTTTACTGAGTGTTCAGGGCATGAACTTAGCACATGATGTGTTCCTGTACCGTGTGTCTGTAACGTGTCGAGCTGGCTAACGCTTCGCCTGATGCTTGTGATTTTTGTGATTACCGTCGCAGCAGACTGATGTCAGGGCTAAATAAATTATTGTGTTATTAGATTTGTGTAGCAGTGTGCAGTAATTATCCCATGTTCGGGAACGTACACTGTTTCTTTTATTTGTTGTGTGTGTGTGTGTGCGTGCGTGCGTGCGCACACGCTTGTTTCTGCTACAGAGTGAGGACCATTTGTGCCATAGTTACTATCAAAGTGAGGTTTTTGATGTAAAGTGAGGACCTCTTCAGTGCCCTCACTTTATTTGCAGCTCTGATGTGCTTTACTAGTTAGGTTTAGAGGTATGGTGTGAATAAAGTTCTGGTTCAGTTTAGGGTTAGGAATAGACCAGTAATGGTTAATTTTAGGTAAAATATCTGGGTTAGGCATAAATACAGTTACAAAAATTAATGGAAGTCAATACATTGTGCTCAGTTTGATGCAAATACAAGGGTGTGTGTGTGTGTGTGTGTGTGTGTGTGTGTGTGTGTGTGTGTGTGTGTGT